TTGAAGTAAGCCAGGCCCAAAGAAACATAGGTCCCATGGTTTCCCTTATTTTCAATAACTTGTATATGTCTGCGATAAGCAGACAAGGTAAAAAGCTATGTATATATGACCAGAGAGGACCTGCTTTTCTTGAGTTTCTTAAAATTCCAACCAAGTAGTCTTGTAATGGAGGGTTAAGGGGAAAATGAGGATTTCATGTTCAGGATACCAAAATAGATGGGAGGATAGGAGACAATAGAGCTTGTGAGGGTCTCATATCTAAAATATACCTGGAACTCAAAAAATTAAATCCCTCAACAGATCGTCAAAGAAACAATTGCCCAATAAATAACTTGTCTGAAGAGGAAATAAGAATGGCCAATAGACACATGAAGAAATGCTCAAACTCTCTATCCATAAAAGAAATGCAAACCAAAACAACATTAAGATACCACCTCACCCCAGTTGGAAGGGCTACAATCAAGAAAGCTAATTACAAGAGATGCTGGAGGAGATGTGGACAGAAGGGAACCCAACTGCATTGTTGGTGGGAGTGTAAACTTGTTCAACCACTCTGGAAAGTAGTATGGAGGTTCCTCAAAAGACTCCACATAGAGCTCTCCTATGACTTAGGAATCCCGTTTTTGGGCATTCACCCAAATGATCACAAACAAGACCATACTAAACCTACCAGCACAACTATATTTATTGCAGCATTATTTACCATAGTTAAGATATGGAACCAACCCAGATGCCCCTAAGTAGTTGAATGGATCAGGAAAATGTGGCATATATACACAATGGAATTCTATGCCTCCATCAGAAAGAATGACATTGCCTCATTCGTTAGGAAGTAAAAGACTTGGAAAAAATTATATTAAATGAAGTAAGCCAGACACAAAGAAACATAGGTCTCATGGTTTCCCTTATTTGCAATGAACTGGTTTAGTTTCTTTACACATTGCAAAAATATGACGGACATAGCAGTAAAGACATCAGTTGTTATATTTTCTAGGAATTCATGCCTCTGTCTAGCCCACACCACAGGCATGAACATGATATATGTGTGGCTTCTTCAAAAAAGTGTATATGACTTAGTCAAAGTCTTCCTTATTTAAGTGACTTTACTTCAAAAATCAGGAAAAAAAATTAAAGGGATATAGCAATGGCTTAAGTAAGCCATGTCCTGTGATTTGGAGGACTGGAGCAGATGCATTTTGGTAGCAGAAAAGACCAAAGTTACTTAGATATTTGTGATTTGCCACTGTTACCATATAGAGTTTTTAATGTTGGAATTAATGACATATTTTCAAAAGGACTGCAATACATCCCTCCATCTATTTCCCTCTTAACATTTCACCTCAAATCCAGGGCAAATTGCCTACTTTCCATATTTTTGGAGAGCTCAAGTGCCTGCCCCTCACTCCTATTAGATTTCATTTTTTATCACACGTGTCCAAATTTCTGCAACTGTTCTGAAATGAGAGAGGCTTCTCTGCTATTTATGCCCAGCAGGTCAGTACTGACACCTTAAAGTAGCAAACAAGAGAAAGGAGAGCTATTAAAAGGGTTTAGTAGCCTTATGTCCCATTTTAAATATCACTTTGTTTCTCCATTAGTCCAGGTATGAGGGGGGAGGCAAAGAAATTTGGAGGATATCTCTGAAGTGGTTGAAATGAGCTTGGCCTTCAGGATGACAATATAGGCAAACTTATAATTATTTCAATAGAATGCTAGATTAGGCAACTGAAAAATGAGGAAGGCTATACTAAAGCTAACACCACAACCATTTTCATTGTAGTATTATTTATCATAGCTAAAATATGGAACCAACCCAGATGCCCCCAGTAGATGAATGGATAAGGAAAATTATATATATACATACATATATATGCACAATGGAATTCTATACTTCCATCAGAAAAAATGACCTTGCCCCATTTATAAAAGAAAGGCTTGGAAAAATCATATTAAGTGACAAGCCAGATCCAAAGAAATATAGACTCCCCGGATTCCCTCATTTGTAATAATTAGTATATGTCTGGGATAGGCTTAGAACAAGATCACAATAGCTCAATAGCTTATACATATGGCCATATAAGAGGATCCTAAATGAAATGAACCACAAGACATGGAAAGAAAAATTAATTTTACAACTTTGGGGGGGGGAGTGTAGTCGTGGAGATGGTAGGGCAGGGATGGTAGGGAATAAACAAAGGGGGAGGCAACAATGTTTGATAAGAAATGTACTTACCTTGCTCATGTAATTGTAACCCCTCTGTATGGTATTTTCACAATAAAAAAAAAACTTTTAAAAAAGAGCATTTTTCTATTGTTGCTTTTAATGTGTTATGTGAAGTTATTTCTTTTTCTTTCTTTGTTTTCCACTTTTGGTTTATCCTCTGTTATTACTGTATTTGATTTTGGTACCCTATATCTTGTATATATGTTTACCTGAATTGGGGAAGGGAAGGGAAACAAAACAATGGTGTGACAAAGGACAAAGAGTGAAAATGCAACAGTGATACAAGACAATATGTTGGAACTGACCTTTACAATTTGCCAGAAGGGAAAGTAGGAGAAAAATGAGGGAGGGGTAAAAATGGCAAGAAATGTACTCTTTATCTTACTTATGTAACTGTAAGCACTCTGAACATTACCTTGAGAATAAAATTTAAAAAAAAAGAAAAATGAAGACTTCTAATTTAAGGGCAATGGAATTTGGAATCAAGTTGAAGTTGGTACTAAGGACAGCGTGGCACAGACACAGTGTTCTGTGCTCTGGTCCTGGCCCTGTGGGAGATGTATGTACTATATTCAAAAAAGTTCAGAGCTCTGGGGGAATCCATGTAACCTGCAGGTTTGGGTCCAGTGACTCTATTTCCAACTGTGATCCAGCTTTGCCTCTGGTGTTTGTAGGAACTTGTATAAGGACCTGACATATTTCTCAGTAATATTTTAATGGCCTAATAAATTCTCAAGGAATTTCCAGACAGTGACAGTTGTAAAAATCTATGGGCTGTGCAGTGCACAAAGAAGAGATAGTTGTAAAGAAAATCTTGCCTTTAAAATCCAAGATCTAGGTGAATTTGAACTTAAATCAGTTTATAATCTCTCGGGCTCAAGGTGGAGTCTACTTAATGTACAAGTATTTTAAGTTTCAGTGAATACTTTTGCAAAGATGAAATCTTATTCTTCCATAGTGATGACTATAAAGTTTGAAGTTGAGAGTGCAGTGCAAGGCCAGCTAAGGTAAAAAGCATGCCACCCTATCTGTAGAATAAAAATGGATGAGGAAAGGCTCATGTGATAGAGCACTTGTGTAGTAGGTAGGAAGCTTTGAGTTTCAATCTTAGTAGAACTTCAAAATAAATAAATTCTCCACTTTGTCCTTCTACATATCCTGTTCCTGTCAGTGTCTACACAGAGTTTTGGATGGTTTTGTTGCCTATTTTTCTTTCTGAATTTGCATGGAAAACATTCTCATTGATAGAATATTGACTGAAATCAGGCCACACATCATATACTTTACATTTCTATACTTATTTTGATATTCTAAAACCCATTGTAGGTGACTGTGATCTGTGGAAAAGTCTTTTTCCCTTCTAAGAGGATGTTCTTTTCAAGCTGCTAGAATGAGGCACTAGGGGAACATGAGTTTGGTACCCTCAGGGTCTGAAGTACCCTGAACGGAAGCTTCAACACTGTTGATGTCCTGCTGGTCCTGCTTCCTTCTCCCTCCTGGTGTTTAGCTCTTCAAGGATAAGAGTGGAGGGCCAAGATGTGTCAGCTCATCATTTTTTTCTGTTCTAATAGACACTTTTTAATAACAAACACATAGTACTAAGAATACTGTCTACCTCCGAGGCCTCTTACATCTTCCTTTCAGATGGATCTTTCTAGAAGTCTCTATTGAGCCTTCATATGCCTCTTGGAATAATAAACTCTCAAAAATTGTGCCTACCTTTCTGTTCTTCCCTCATATTTCTTTGTCTTAGAGTGTATTTTCTCTTCTTACATTGTTGTGTATTTCATGGTCTTCCTGAAGAACAGTAGTGGATATCTTTTCTAACAAATAGAAATTTACCTGAAGCCAAGGATATACGGGAATTGCCAATACTAACACAATCTTTATTATTCATGCAGTGGCTTCCTGAATGAGATGGACATAGGTTGGTGTATTAGGATTAGCACTAACTAGGGAGAGCTCCTTCTCTCCTGATCCAGGTTGGCTTGAATGAAGCAGAAATTAAGATTTTTATATTTGCTGAAGAAGGGACTATAGAAATGTTTATACAACACACTATATTGAAAAATGAACTTTACAATTTAGACAAGGTGGTGGGGGAAGTGTAGTTGTAGAGATGGGAGGGAAGGAATAGGGAATGGTAGAGGAAAAACAAAGGAGGAGGCAACAATGCTTGATAAGAAATGTATTCATTACCTTACTCATGTAACTGTAACCCCTCTGTACAGTATTTTTACAATAAAAAACTTATTCAAAAAAAGAGATGTTTCTTGTGTAGGCTGGATATTTTTTAAGTGAGAATTCTAGTCAGTACTTAACATAGATGTACTTGGAAAGGAAAGTAGACATGGCCTTGTTGAAGATCAGTGCCCAATAAAAAAGTGTTGTTGATTCCTTAATACTTAGTAAAAATCACAAACTTGATATTTATTTCACCAGATTTTTGTAGTTTTTGTCATCACTGAAACTATACAGTATTCCCTCATTAGGCAAAGCAAAATGTCCAAAATAATTTATTGGCATTCCTCATATGCAAAAATTAATTCTCTTTTTAAATCAGAGATTCCTTACAAAGTCTTTTCTTTTAGGTCTAAGGACAGTCATAGATTGCAGAGAATTATTTGGTTTAGATTCTGGCTCCATATGAGAAGCACTCTCAGCAGATGGAGGCACCAGAAGGAGCATCTTGGATAGTCTGGCCTCTCACTTCTGCTTTCCTGGAAATTTATATTATGGGTTGTATCACTTTGGAAATGTTATCATAATACTGCAGTCAGTAATAAATTTCAACATCTTCAGGCTGCAGGCTGTTAATGGTGAGAGAATACTCTGTTCCAGATCCAGTGCCACTGAACATGGATGGGTTCCTAGATTCCAAACTGGATGTTTCATAGATCAGGAGCTTGAGAGTTTTCCCTGGTTTCTGCTGATACCAGGCTAAATTAGAGTGAATGTCTTGACTGGCCCAGCAATTGATGGAGACTCTGTCTCCCGGAGATGCAGACAGGGAAGATGGACACTGGGTCATCTGGATGTCACATCTGAAACCTGACATGGAATACAATGCGCATAATGATTCATGTTTCATGAATACTCACAGAGAGCCAGACTGAATTGACCACACTGAACGAATAAAATTTCTGTTGATGTCCTTCCTTACCTGGGAGCCAGAGCATCAGGAGCCCCTGGAGCTGAGCAGGGACCTTTATGTCCATGCTGTGTGCTGAGTGGGTCTGACTGCTACACAGGGTGTGAACAATCTATGAAGAAATATTCAGAGTATTGTGCTCTGTGCTGGTCATATGCAAACAGCAGAGACTAGGCAGGACTGGACACATCTAAAGGGCTGGCTCACTGCAACAATTCCACATTGGCCCTGTGTTTTACTGGTGTCTTGGGTTGCAGGTGTCCCAGGCTGCAGGCTTCCCTGGTGTCCCAGGGCAGGCAATGTTATTCTCTCTGAAGCCATTTTATTAAAGCAGATATTTTGATGATTATAATTGTAATGCATGATATATAAGCATTAAATTGATTAAGTTATCTCTCAGTATGATGCAATGCATGAACATATCCTTGCTTGTAGGGACTACACAAAGAAATCTTAGAGTATGCACTATTTGATTTTTAATTCACTCTCAAATAGTATCCTTATTGTTATTTTTATATTTTTATGCTGATCCTGATGCTTTAGCTTGGGGTCTGTGTGCTATCTCTAAGCTTTTTCACTCAATTGTTGTACTCTACCAAGTGAAGCACAGACTTCACTTCCTCAAATAATTCTGACTGATAAAAAATATTTCTTAGCAAAGTGTGTATGTGTGTAAAATAGCATTTCTGTGTGTAAGTGAAATGATGATAATTTATTGGAAGAAGTTATTTAGAAGAAGTTATATGATGAGGAGAAGCAGCATGCTGTTCCAATGTGAGTCACTTAGAAGTCCACCATTTTCCAGTGCTGTAAGTACATTTCCTGTTCCATACTGAATGGGCTACATATTTTCCATAATTTGGAATCTCAGAGTTATGATAAACTGTTGTTATTTGTGATGATTCCAGTTACCACCCTGAAAGTCTAATTAGTTATGTCAGACTTGTACACTTCAGTAAATATCTCCATACTCTATGCACCTGCTTTCCATTCACCACAAATGCCTCTGTTTGTTTAGTTTTATGTTTTTGGGTTTTTTCTACCTGCAATAGTAGGACATCAACCTGATCTAGACACCAGCTTTGCTGTGGGTATCTCTAGGAGAAAGACTGGCTCTCTTTTCCAGCCAGTGCAGGCAGGTGAGCATTGAGCAGAATCTTGGATACAGGTCAAAGTTGGACAAAGATTTGACTATCTCAAATTTCACATCCAAAGCTGGGTTGGAAGCTCATGCCTGTACCACTAACAACTCAGGAGGTTAAAACCTGAGGGTCATGGTTTGAAGAGTCTTATCTCTAATTAACCACCAGAAAATCAAATGTGGACCTGTTGTTCACACTGGTAGACCACTACTTTTGAGCAAGAGTTTATGACAGTGTCCATGCACTGAATTCAAACCCCACAGGCAATAAAAATTCAAATAAATTAAAAAGTCACATCTATTCCTCAATTTGGATGTTCTATCCTAGCTCAACACCATGGGAACAGGGCTTGTCTGTGCCTTGAGTTTCCACACTCTTGACCCTGACACTCTAGTTTCTTAATGATGAGTAGCAGATTATACCATTGGTGCCTGAGTAATATCTTCCTTCTGTGTTTCCAGATGCCAAACTTTCATGGGAACTGGTTATAAAGAATCCAGCCAGAATCTCCTTGCAGGGAGAATGTAAAGTTCTATGCTCTTTTTAGTTGGGTTATCAGCAATGCTGGTATGTTGATATCGTCCTTTAATATGTTTGTGTTGATTTGTACAGCCATCCGGTGTCCTGATGTCATCTTGAAACAAGAGAGGACACCTCTGCTTATACACTCAAAAGAACACCGAGTTAGGAATGAGTGCCCTCCGAATTTCCTCAGTGCTGATGAGAAAAGAGGTGCATACATATCTCAGCCCCTCATCTTACCAAGAATAACTCAAAAGTGTTCTCCAAATCTCCACATGGTGCTGAGTTGCAGTCATCAACAGCAATACGAAGTATATAGCGTGTGGTATAATCTTTACAGTCCATTTTCCCTTCCTTGACTTTCTTTGTCCCTTATCACTGCATCCTATATATCATAAAGTTTGAAGACCCTAGAGCCTCTTGGGAGCTCTGACTGAGTCCAGAAAGTGTGACTGAGTGGTGAATGTGGAGAAAGACTGATGCCAGCAAAAAACTGATGGTTTGTGTGTAGTCTTGTCCTGTTTACAAGGATTCTGAATGTGAACATTACACTGTTATCCTATAGAAAAAAAGAATGAATGTCTGCTCTTTGGCAAGCTTAAACTTCACTATATTCTGATATCTTATTACCTAACTCTGGGAATATGCCCTTTGATTGTGAATAAAACTGCTCCAACCTAACAAGTGATCTTGTACCCAATAAAAGTGGAGGACAAGGAAATTCAGGAATTCTGGGAACTGTCCCAGACGCTCGTCATCTCTCTTGGCAATATAGATATATACCTTGAGTATCAGTTTTCCACCATCATGTTGTCCACTGATGGAGCTGGAAATACATATCTGAACTGTGTTGAAATTCTTAATATTAGACCCATGCTAACACATTAAACCAAGTATTATATTTAGATGGCAATTCTTATCTGAATTTTTGACCCTATTTTTTGATAATTTGAAAACAGAAAATTCTAGAAAAGTTTAATTTCTGTTTACAAACATTTCTTGGATTGGATAAAGCAGCCATTATTTCTGTTTTATGGGTCACACAATCAGAAGAACCTATAGGAAATTCACATGCACTATGAAGTGCACATTTAAAGCACTGATAGAGGACAGTGACAGTCTTTAAACCTCATAGGTACCAGGGTCTAAGTTTGAGATTTATTCCTGGTCTCTTGATTTCAAAATCCACCTTGTGATTTTATTTCTGCATTAGGAAAAGACAGTTGGGAGGACACAATAACGGCCGTTATATATGTAACGTGGAATCATCAATAGATATCCATGTTCAAGTCTTGAGCCTATCAATATTACCCTATGAAGCCAAAAGAACTTGGGAGATGTTATTGGGTTACACATTTTCAGACTGGAAAACTATCTTGAACGATCTGCGTGAGGCTGATATAATATCAAGAACGCTTATACTGTTGAGTAAGAAATGCCAGAGAAAGGAAGTGACAGTGAAAAGGGCAAGGCATGATGTGATAAGAATCAGAGCTGGGAATGTGAGATCATTGAAAAAATGTGGCCTACAAGTTTAAGTACCTATTTTTAGACACTAGAATAAATAGAATAGATGTGTGTAAGAGAAGGAAAAAGACCAGAAAGGGGAAAACTCAACAGGTCAACATGTGTCATTCAGGAGAAAAGCGTGGGAAGAACAACCAAATCTCCTCCAATCTTCCTAAAGGGGAAATTTCACATTCCTCTTAAAACTAGATGCCCTTTAAAGGTTAGGCAGAATGAGTGAAGTCAAGGGGCAATTGGAAGCAGCTTGAAGTAATGGCCATGTGGAAGAGAAATCTTACATTGACTGAGGGGTTTCAAGGTTTCAACAGCATCTGTACTCCTCATTGATGTCAGAGTCAGATTTGGCCTGGATCAGGCTCTCTTCTCTGAAATTACAGGGTGCATTTTTTCAGGTGGAAGGGGAGGGGATATGATTCAGACAGCTTGGCTGAAAAGACAAATCTAAGATATGGCTGTCATGGGAAAGGTGAATCCTTTCAGTATAAGTCATTTTTCCATTGATTTTTATCTGGGCCTTCAAACCAGAGTAAGGCCAAGATGGCACCGACCTGGAGCTGCTATGCTATGACCCTGGGTTGTGGAGAAAGCATTTGGTCTCCTGAATGGTGGGGACTGAAGACTTGAGGGTCAACCAGAAGCTCTGCCCATGGCGGTGCCTAAGATTCAGGGGAAAAAAATGCATAAAATGTACTGGAGTTGAACACAACCAAAAGTATAAGCCCAAGATTAGACTGCAAGAGACTAGAAGGATTGGAGTTTGCCTGACTCTGTGGGACTGGTCCTTCTCTGTGTTCTTCCACTCATCTGAGAATCAGCAACCAAGGGTGTTGTTTTAGCTCTGTGTATTCTGCTTAGAAACATAAGGAGTAGAAGTAAAACGTGTATAAAATGTAACTGGAGTCATGCTGACTGTACACAAGGCAGTTGCATCTCAGAGGGCTGTCTTGTTCTATTACATCTGAATCCAGTCTTATCTATAGTTCTAACTCCATTCCAAGAACTCTTGTGGTAGAATCATCATTTTCTAGGTGTTTTTAATCTGGATCAGGTAAAATAGAAAATATTGAGGGACTTGCTCATGGAAAGACTCTGCCCATTTTGAACAGAATCCCAGTATCACATTGGCCAGGGAGCCTGGCAGAGAGCATCTACACCTCAGGCTTCTCATGTTAATGGGGCTGCATCACTACTGCTTTCCCTGGGTTTCTTTTCTTTTTATTGTACATTTTTTATTGTAAAAATACTGTACAGAGAGTTTGCAGCTACATGAGCAAGGGAATTAGTACATTTCCTATAGAGCATTGTTGCCTTCTCCTTTGTTTTTCTCCTACCATCCCTGCTCTCCCAGATCCACAACTAATATACCCCTACGCCCACTCCCACCCCACATCCCCACCCCCGCCAAAGTTGTAAAATTTGTTTTCAACATAGTGTCTTGTACATCTCATTGTTACAATGAATGGGTCAACCTGTATCGCTATTTAAACATTTTGCTTTTTCCCTCCTCCCCCAAATTAGAGAAGTGTATATACAAGATGCAGGACACCGGAATCAAATACAGTGAAAACAGGGGTAATACCGTGGGTGAGGAACATACAAAGAAACAAACAAAAACTCACATAACACATTATAAATACTTTAGAAACAATAGCAAGAAAAGGAAAAAAAATGTGTCCCTATCCTGGGGTTCATTTCGCTTAACAACATCTTATATGGTCATATGTATGTAGCTTTTGACCTTTTCTGCTTTTTTTATTGTGAAAATAACATACAGAGAAGTTACAATTACATGGGCAAGATACTGAGTACATTTCTTATCAAGCATTATTGCCTCCTCTTTGTTTCCCCTTCCCATCTCTTCCCATACTCCCTTCACCTTCCCCCACCAGAACCTCCTCCCCACAAAAGTTGTAAAGTTCATTTTTCGACAGAACGACTTGTACATCTTATTGTTGAAATGGGTCCACTTGTATCCCTAGTTAAACGATTTGTTTTTACCCTTCCCCTCCACAAATTATACCAACATCAAGAACAGTGAAAGCAGGGGTTATACCGTGGGGAAGGGACATACAAAGCAACATAGAAATCATCTTATAAATATGTTAGAAAAAATTGCATGAAAGAAAAACAAAACATTTGAATACTTATCTTGGGGTTCTTTCCTCTGACCTCAACTTGTCTGACCTTTTCTGCTTGACTCAGACATATACTAGTTACTGCAAATAAGGAAAACCATGAGACCTGTGTTGCTTTGGGCCTGGCTTACTTCACTTACTGTAATTTTTTCCAAGTTTTTCCATTTCCTAACAAATGCTTTTGATCTGTTTCTTTGGGCCTGGCTTAGTTCAATTAATGTAAACCTGTGGGCTTTGTTTTTATGAAGTTTGTTGCCATCTAATGGCAGGTTTGTGACATAGCATTATATTTATTTATTTATTTTATTGTGAACATACTGTACAGAGGGGTTACAATTACACGGGCAAGATAATGAGTACATTTCTTATCAAGCATTGTAGCCTCCTCCTTTGTTTCCCCTTCCCATCCCTTCCCATCCTCCCCACCCCCATCTTTTTTTCTTTTTTTTTATTGTGAAAATACTGTACTGAGGTGTTGCAATTACATGGGCAAGGTAATGAGTACATTTCTCATCAAGCATTGTAGCCTCCTCCTTTGTTGGCCCTTCCCATCCCTTCCCATCTCCCAACCCTCCACCCCCCTTCCCCCACCCCACTTTCCCCCACCCCACCCACCCCCGGTAAAAGTTGCAAAGTTCATTTTTTCACATAATGACTTGTACATCTCATTGTCGCAATGGGTCCATCTGTATCCCTATTTAAATGATTTGTTTTTTCCCTTCCCTGCCACAATTATGCCAACATCAAATACAGTGAAAGTAGGGGTTATACCGTAGGGGAGATACTGTACAGAAGAGTTACAGGTACATGAGTAAGATAATGGGTACATTTCTTGCTGAGTATCATTACCTCCTCTTTTGTTGTTCTCCCACTATCCTTTCCCTCCCCCACCTCCATGACTTCTGCCACTGAAGTTATAAAGTTCATTTCTGAGATAGTATATAGTGTCTTGCAATCATAAGATGCTTGGTTTGAGTTTTCTATGTCTAGACTGATTCTTGCACCAGTATTCACAAGTTTATCCTATTTTACAAATCACTAATCTATATTCTGTAGAAAATTAATAAGCAATGATAGCTTTTCCCTCAATACTTTCCATAGCTAGTTAAAGACAAAATTCTTATGCACTTATCAAAAATTGTGAAAGGATAATGGTTAAAAAACAGTGGGAGGTCTGGATTATCTTCACCACATGAAATGTTAAAGGTACTGTTTTGGCAAAAAGACTGATTCTATGAGTTACCTGTCAGGGCATGATGTTCAGCTGATCACTCCTGACCAAAATTTTGTAACCCAGTCTCTTCCTGTAATTCCCAAACCGTTCTGACATATCACTTTATGCTCATCTCAACTCTGCGTAGGAATAGAAAACAAAGAAATTAGTCCTCAGATGTAGACAGAACCTGTATTTCTTTTTTTTTAATTTTATTTTACTTGTGAACATAATGTACAGAAGGGTTACAATTATATGGGCAGGATAATGCATACATTTCTTACCAAGCATTGCAGCCTCCTCCGTTGTTTACCCTTCACATCCCTTCCCAGCCTCCCCCCTCCCTCCCCAATCCCAATCCTTCTCCTTCCTCCCCCTTCCCCCCCCCCCACCCCCCCCCCCCCACCCCCCGCCACCGATGTAAAGCTCGTTTTGGACATGACAACTTGTACTTCTCATTGTTGCAACAG